AAAAAAAAAAAAAAAAAGCACCCCCCCAAAAAAAATTTAAAAAGAGAAAAGAAAGGACAAAAGAATGACGAGAGAAAGAAAAAAGCCCTGCACACGAAGCCCTGAGCGGGCAGGGTCAGAGGACGTCTTGAACCAAAGAGCTCCTGGGGTAGGTGGGCGGGGAGGGGCTGGGGGTGTCACACTGGACATGGTCACAGCAAATGAAGCATTGCTGGAGAGAGAGGGGGGACAGAGGGATGGAGACAGGGAGGAGCGGGAAGGGGCAGGTGCCACAGCGTGTTTTGCCAACCAGAACCCAAAACCTAATGGGAATCTCATCCCCCCAGGACCCTGCTCCCCGCCACTGATTTTTTCCCCTAATGTTGTTTCTTCGTCTTGTCGTGACGTGGTGACGATGGTGGTGGATTCCTGAACCCCATCGAGTAGTATTCAAGGGCTGAAAAGCCAGGAAGGGGGCCTTGGTTTGGGAAGTGAAAAACACAACAGGAAAAAAAAAAAAAAAAAAAAAAGGGAAGAAAAAAAGGAAAAGAAAGAAAAAAAAAGAAAAGAAAAGAAAAAAAAAAAGAGTAAATGCCACAGGCCCTCAAGGATGCAAAGACATTTCTAGTGAGAACCCGAGACTAAAGGCTACCTCACTTGAGTTTTCAATTTTTGTGATTTGAAAATCACGTCTGATACCAAAGATTTTGTTGCCTTGTCTGGTCTGTGCTGGAAGCTCCACTTTCCCTGCTCCCCATGGCCGGCCCAGAGCCCCTGGCCACCCCCAGCCCCAGCCCCAGCCCCAGCCCCAGCCCTGGCGAGTCCCCAGAGAGCGAGGGAGGAGGCGAGCGAGCGACTGCGGGATGGCAGCGTGGTAGATGAGTGCCTTTTTCTTGTACCAAAGGTGTGTGGCCATTTCTTTGCTCCTCTGCTTTGATCCTAAAGACTCAGCGTTCCCTCAGCTCTCCACAGGACAGATCCCCACGGCTCTCGTAGTCTCTGGGTGTTGGGATGAAGGAGACAAAACCCAACCCTTGTCCTAATTGAAGAGAAAACATCCCCCTCGCTGAGGGCAAGGTGCTGGTTCCCCAGCATGTCCCCCCTCTCAGATGTCCCTGTGTCCCCCAGCCTGGTCCCTCCACGCAGCCCCTCCTGCCCCAGGAGCACAGACCTGGTGTCCAGGGAAAGGCTCCCAGGGAAAGGCTTTGCTCCATGTCCTTCTCCAGCCTCTCAGTGCTGGACCCTGCAGAAGCCCACAAGTTGACAAAGTGAGTTTCCTCACAAGGTGACAAAGCTGAGTTTCCTCACGGGATATTTTTGTTTCCCTGAGCTCAGATTTGAGCTTTGTTTCCCACTTTTGGCAGCACAGTTTGTGGCGTTTCTGTCTGGAAGGACGAAGGCAGGAGCAGTGGAAAGTCTCACCCTGAGCTTTCTCCAAACTCTTCCTTTAGGGAATGGATTGGAGCTGTGAATCCTTCCAACAGGAGCTGTTTCTCAGTCCCCAGAGGGGCATTTTTGGCTCACTGGGGACGATCTGTGCAGCCAGGTCTGCTCCATTCTGCCCCTTGGCTCCAGCAGAAGGCAGCAGGAGGATCTGGCAGAGATGCTCTTCCCCAGCAATCTCCAATTTAGGGAAAACTTGGCTTGATTTGTACCTGCCTGGTTCAGGCTCCGGCCAAGGCGACTCCTTTGAGTTGGACCAAACCTGCCCAGGGCCAGCCCTGGTGTGATCCTTGGGGCTGTCCTGTGCAGGACCAGGAGCTGGACTTGCTGATCCTTGGGGGTCCCTTCCAATCCAAGAGATTCCAGAATTCCAACGCCCCTGGTGAGAGCAACCCCGTGGGGGTTCCCCATCCTGCCAGGCAGCCTGAGAGGGCTGGTCAGACCCTGTCACCTCCCTGTCACCTCCCTGTCACCTCCCTGTCCCCCCTGCCCCTCCACACTATTGCCTTGGCCAGGGCTTGCCCACCCTCCTGGCCACGCCACCCCCTTGTCCCCAGCCCCCTCCTGGCTTGTGATACCAAAGACGTTCTCTATGCAGGAGAAAGCCTTCATTGCCACCCAGCACAGACCTTACAAGCCTTTGACAATGTTCTCTGAAATACCTCAAAATATTTAATGTATAGTTTATGTGATAAAAAAAAAATTACTTAGCTAGTTTTTGGAATTTGTGACTTGAAGCTTTATACTGTTAAATTATAATTTTGCAGAAGACGGCATGTTCTTATTTCTTTGATGCGTTCAATGGGAGACATATTGAATGTTAAGGAAATGAAAGCTGGATAGTTTCACGATTTAAAAAAAAAAGAGAGAAAGAGAGAGAGAGAAAGAGAGAGAGAAAGATTAAAAAAAAGGACCCTTGGAGTTTACAGATTTCATATTTAAACAAGTCCTTTTAAAAAAAAAAGAAAAAAAAAGAAAAACTAATAATGATGACGATACCTTTGCGTTCAGATGTGTTACTTTTCTCTGAGTCATGTCGTACAAGAGTATTTATTATATGTGTTCTGTGTTCAAATGTAATTTAAAGAAGACAAAAAAAAAAGAAAAAAAAAGACAAGATGAGAATTTGATTTATGCATGAAAAATATACTCTTTCTTGAAGTAATGTAATAATTATTGGGGGAGGGGTGGTCGGGTGGGACGGGAGGGGACAAACTGTGCTTTTTTTGTCCACAAGTTTTTGGTTGATGAAGATTTCTCTGCATGGATCATGGTTCTGTTCCAACTCACAACCATGGGAAATTCATCATTTATCCCCTTCTTCCATCACCTCTTTTGTTCCTTTCCTCACCCTGAAAATCTCTTGGCAGCCACGGAGGGAGGCGGGGGCAGCTCGGGGGACCCCCGGGCAGGGTGGGGGGCACAGCCTGGCCCCGTGCCCAGCAAACAGGGTAAGGGAATCTGGGACACGGGACCCTGCCGTGCCCACCCTGCTCCTGCCTCCCCCTGAGGTCTGGCTCCTCGCTCTGCTTTGTGTTTTCTCTTTGTCTGGG